AGCCCACATAAATATATATTTTTTTTTATTTTATAATTTTATCGTCACATTGAGATTCAAAAATATTTTCTATTGATGTGTATACTATATATTTTTAATTAAATATTTTTTCTCTATCATGAAATTTTTCATGAATTTCATCTAAGAACAACACTACTAATATATTTTTGATAATTTTTCTCTAAATCTATTGATAATCTTATTCTTAAGCCCGTTGGGAATATTCACGTGATCATTAGACGTCACATTATGAATAATAACTTCGTTTAGACTTCAATCTTTAGTTTATCTTTTAGTTCTTCACTGTAAAAGTAACTGAGGAAGATTGTGATAATATCGAGACCTGAAAATATATAATAAATATTATTTTTTCAAAGAAGAAACATTATTTAGTTCCTTGAATTTTATTTAACGGGTAATACTACTTACAATATAAAAAAGTCAATAGTGGAGAGAGAGATATTTAACATAGAAAATACTGGATAAAGTAAAGCCTGACTATAATAATGTAATATTATAATAATATATTTGATTTAACCGAACCATTTTATATATAAGTCCTAATTATTTCAGGGTTTTTTCTTTTAATATTATAAAATATCTTATTTTACTTACTATAGAACATTAGTTCGACCAGAGAGGCTCCAACCATTCCACTTGCAAGACTCTCATAGGTTGCGAAGATCGTTATCAAAATACAGATTGTTATGGACACAAAGAAATACACCTTGACGACGCGTGCGTGTTTCTGAAATAAATAATTAATTTTAGTTTAAAATTTACATTGAAGCCAAATTATTGAAGAAAATTCTATTCAATCATTGGTAAAAAGGAAATCAAATTAAGAAAATTTATAGATTCTTTATAACAAAACAGAATATACAGTTTTATGACTCATAATGAAGATATTTTGTTACTTTTCCGTTAATACAAAATAGTGTAAGAAAGACTTTTTCAGACTATCAACTTATTTTCGTCTTCAAACTAAAAGATTGAATAAGATGGATACTTTTAGAATGATTTCTTTCTTTTAATATGCATTGTCATTTCAAGCAAAATACATACAAAATTCAGGACTATCTCTTAAAGAGCTGGTCTAGTTATCAAGTCCGTACAGTATTTATTTTTTAAATGTAAATAATTCAGTTATTATGTATGTCAAAGGTAAAAGAAAATTGTAAAGCTTACCTTAACGACAGCGTAAATGAAAAGAACGTCAAAGGACAGTTTTATCATGAGAATGAAAATCACTAATAGTGATAATACAAAGATAGGATGAACCTTCTGGCCCGGATCTTTATCATTACCATTATTGAACACAGAGAAGATTATCATCAGATATATCATTATGGCCAAAAGCACAAATGATATTAGCTGAAAGTTAAAACGTATATTTAGTAAGGATTTCAAAAAATTTTTATGTGAAAGGTGGCAAACTAGCAGACGGCCCATTTGATGGAAGGTAGTTACAGTCGACCATGGACATCCGCAACATCTTTGTTGCGAATGCGTGGTCAACCTTGTTTTTTAGGGATAGGGAGGGGTGGGAATATGGAAATGATAGGAAAGGATGGGAATAGGGAAAGGGCAATAGGCTAATTTTTTGCTGATTTCTTAGCTATGTGGTACTTTTAAAAGACCACTTAAGTGCATACATACCGCATTCAAACACCCCAGTATTACACAACCGTGTTTTAAAGTGTAATTGCAACACCTTGGCTTTTCCTGCTTTTGACTCATGGTGGACTGAAAAATATATACATATATCAATATCTAATATATATATATATACATTATGTAAATTTTCTTATTTTATTGTTAACATTACAGTGATTAGTAAAAATTTGTTATGTCGAAAAATTTACATCATCAACATTTTATAGAGTAGTATATAAGCAGATTTGTGTATTGAAGAGCAGTAACAAATTTATCTTCAAACCTAAAGCATCTACTTTATTTACCAAGTCAGGTCCTTACAATTTAAACCGTTGGTTTACTGAATTCTACTAAGGCATTAATAAAAATGGTTGTATGTTTTGGTTATTAAAATATAAAATAAAATATTCATATCAAATATTTTGGTATACTTTTACAGCAAAAGTTTCATGTGATAACTGAAATTAAAATTATTGGCTCAAACCTTAATTAACTTTTTTATGCCAATAAAGTGACTAAATCTTTTCTTTAAACGTGTGTGAATAGAAGGCTATGTATGTATACATTTAATAGGACAACATTCGAAAATTAGGATAGTTTAATAGCATTCCATCTCCTAAAAAACTTTGACGTGATGAATTCTCTTTACTTGCTTTCTTATTTCACCGATAAAAATAATAAAATCTAATTATTAATCGAAATAAAGTAATAACACCAGTATCGAATATTATAATGCAAACAAAAAACCTGTTGGAATATGAACGATGCTAAGTTTAAAACACATTTATTTAACATACTATGAAAATAAGGATACGCCCTGTATTACGAGAGTGCATTGCAACTACGCTGTACAACAAAGAAGATGCAAGCTAGCACGATATAAGAGAATATGAAGAGACTGAGAACAAAATCAGACGTCTTTTGTTGTACAACTACTTACCCAACGCATTCTAAACAAAAAATTTAAGTATATACAAGGATATTTTTCATATTTCAAATTAACACTCCGAAACTAGCAAAAGATTAAATTAAAATTACCTTTTTCATATTTAAATTCGATATGCAATCACCAGTTGATATAAATTTCAACGAATTTTGATTATTTGAACCTAAATGAAACGCGTCTATCTTGGCACGTTCCGATGACCTAGTCTAAAATTTTAATCAATGAAATCCTGCGAATGCGTACTGGGGATGCACATTGCATAACAATTCGCTATTCAATATCTACCAATTATATAATAAAAAAATTATTAATAAACAATTTAATAATGTCATTTTAATCCGAGATTTGACATTTTAAGCCCTTAAAACCATATCGCAATTATAACGTACTTATATAGTGTTAAAAGGTCAAAGTGCAAGTGCACCATGACATTTCGTTAGTACCTTTATCAACTCAACTCATTCCATACATTGAAATAAACTAAACTAAATTATCATTCAACAAAACATTTCTGTAATAATTGTTATGAATGCATTTCAATGAATATTTTACGCGATGCACTTTTTAGGTGAAATGATAAATACGCCATTCCTACATTTTATAGTAAGTTATTGAAATATAACTGAATACTGAGATCATTTAAATATTACTATTAGTAACTGGTTTAATTTAATCGCTTAATTTGTATTACAAATTGACTTTCGCTTTTAAACTGCAACGAACAATGGAACGCTGTTTTTACACTTGGCTAATGAAAACAGGAATCAATGCCCGGTAGATATTTCAAAAATATAAAAAATATAAACTAATTAATATAGACTTTATTTAATATTTTTTTTTTATATTTAATTCATATTATTTAAAAAATCCGTAAAAGGTATAAATAACTTGCTTTAAAAAATATAACCATTCATGCTAAATAATATTTTAAACAAAAATTTAAATTTATTTTTAAATAATATTAATAATAATGTACATACAATTAAGCTCGATTTCCTTCTCGGCTGGCTATGTTTAATAAAACCACTCTCTATCAGCATTTTTGTTATGTAATTTTAAATAATTTAAATAGATTTATAGTATTTTATTTTAATGATAAAATTTGTTTATATTTATAAACAACACAACTGTGTCCAGTGATCAAAACAGAATGATGTCACTATTAGAAAAACATCTCCTAACTGTGGAGATGAGTTCAGTGTGGCTACAGCGAAAAATGCTTTCCATTACACGAAAACCCGCAGTAATAATATCTGCTTGTTAACTGTATTGCAAGTAATAATAAAATAATATTAAAATGCTAAAATACGAATATTTCAATATCAATTGAATCTTTAAAATTAAAACTTAAAAGGAAAGGATTGTGTGAAATGGAATGTAGAAATCAATAATCATTTAGCTGGATACAAAACCTACGTCTATCTATTTTTGGACTCAGAAAAATAATATAAAAAAATAGTAATTAAATGAAGACTAAAATATATAAGAGGAACTATCTTTCCTTTATGTTTGTTCTTCAGTTAGCAGGGACGTAAATTTCTGTCAAGTTCACCCAAAAAGATCTTCCCGGTCGTTCCTTGCAATAGATATCTTGTTTTTACAGATATTCATAATCAAATACTTGTAAATTTTGAAATTTTAATGATCATTTGAGTTAAATGATTTATCTTAATTTGAAGCAAAAATCTGAATCTAATATGATGTTTAATTTAGATTAAACTTATACTGTTCCAAAAATTATTGTAGGTACCTGTCACAATTAAAACACATCAACTAGGATGCATATATGGTACTAAGAATGAATAGAAATAAAAGTACTGACATCTTCATTATTTCCTATCTATGGGAAAATTAGGTTCTGAATTATCTCTATAAGGTGATGAAAATAAAAAAAAAATATGATCAAAATTATTAGTTTCAAGTAATTTTTAGAAATGAATTAATTTCGAGAGTAAATTATTACTAATGATTGAGACTTTCGCAATATTATCTTTCTCCTAATACCTTAACCTATTAAATTACATTTTTTCAAGCTGTAACTCAACTATAAGTTTAAGTAATTAAATTTAAGTAATTAAAATTAATAACATTTCAATACATTTAAAACGAAACTTTCATTTTATTGTATAAAAGCAGCAAATACAAAACACTGAAAGCTCTTCTTTTATAAAGATACATTATTATTTGATATCGTAACAGCTTCAACCACGTCTATATTTTAGTAAATAGACAAATACATAAGGTTATATTCAATTATCTTAAACATACATATAAATACGTCTTAATAGAATTAATTACCTAAATAAATAACAATTCATACTATTTATTATATTCTCATCTTTCATAATTTTAACATATTCATCTTATTTAATTCAATTAAACTATCATTATATTTTTTTTATACTTCTTCTCTAGTATTAAGTTGTTTATAGAAGCTGTGACTCAGCAGGATGGCATAAAGGTTGAGACCTGAAAAGATAATTGGTTTATTATATGAAAATATATATTAATCTTTTGAAAGATATTATATGTAAATTTACTTATTCTAATTTGACGTTATTGTTGTTATTTATTAGTATGTATAACCGAGCAGAATATTTTAAATGAATATGTATTTTTTCATGAAAACAAAAGTATTTCAAATATACCGTTTAACTATCAAATTTTTATATAAAACAAAAGATGCTGTACACAATTGATTTGAATTTTGATACTATAAAAATATTTTTCATATCAGTATTCAATGTATTGTATAATAATTAATTGTCTTACTTATATAGAAGACCTCCATACAAATGGTTCCATAGTCGTAATGTCTGGCGTTGAGGAAGAATGTGAACATAGATAGCAGAAAGAAAACCACCCACATGAAGAAATAGGATCTGATGATAGTAGGCTTTTCCTGTAAGCATTAAACATACATACAACTCATCACTGCAAATTAAATTACTATATCTCTCCTAATTATTAGGTAAAATCATATATTTCTTTATTATCCCTGTCAATAAAAATGTACAAGTAATTTAAAATCGAAAAAAATAGGACAAAAAATCTATCACATGATCACATGGTCCAAAGACGTAACAATAGTTTTTTCATACTTTCGCAGATATGGTTTGGTCAATATTTTTATATCTATATAATATGCATCCTTACAGTGATTACGCCATATATGAAGACGATATCGAAGCAGAATTTTGTGAGAAACATCAGCACAAGTATAATTGACATCACATAGAGTCCCGTGACAGCTGCTTCGGCCTCAAAGTCCCTCACCTCTTCCAAGCCATATTTAATCGGCTCTATTGTAGCCGACACAACTATCATCATTATGAAAAGTGTAAATGATAATAACTGAAAAGTAAAGAAATAAATATTAAGCTAGATTTTTTTGTTGAAGATACACTTATTCTGTTCAAAATCTAATTGTTAAAGAAATAATCTAAAAGACTTATTGCTGTTTTTTTTTTCTAATTTTAATGGACTACGATCTTTTTATTATATATCCAATACTATTTTGACCATAGATTGGTATTTTTTTTGATTTAATAAAGTTGAATTTAAATTTAATATTTTATTTTACTTAATCATATGATATACGAACTGCGTTTAAGGATCCCATTATGATGTTGCCCGTTTTCAAATCGAAGACAAAACAACAGGTTTCTAATTGAGGTAGACCCATGATGAGCTGAATGTGATATAAATTAATATTAAATGAAGCATTGATAAGAACAAAATAATTCATTATTACAATATAGTAAAAAAAAACATTTATGAACGTATTTTTTGGACTACGATCCAGAACTCACTTTGGAATGTTGATAAATCCAATAAAATCGATAAATAAAAGGAATACTTATTTTCACTAAATTGATAATTTCATATACATAAATTTCTTATTTTTTTATTAAATACAATTTTTTCGCAACTATTGAGTCCTGATCGTACATATGTATACGTATATAAAGTACGTATACTTGATTAACCAATATGTAAATTTAATAATTTTATATATTTCAGAAAAATAGTTTCCATAACAATATATTTTAAAATATAAAATTATCAGTAAAATAAAATATTAATTAAACTTACATTTTGTATCCTATGTATATTCGTACACAAGTCACCAATGGTAAAAGAGTAAGCTCGAATGAAGGAGGCTGCTAGCTACTGCTGGTTTTTAACAAAGAATATAAAAACAGAAGGTGAATTACCTATACGTGTAATTTATTTATTAAACTAAAGTTTATTCGATAATCTTTATACATGTAACCGTAAAATAAATAAATATGTGATGCCATTTCAAAAAACCACGAAAAAAAAGAAACAATATATATGAAAAATAGCATTTACGCGAAAGAGTTTGACGAGCAAAATTACTTACCAAGTAAAAATATTTTACTAGTGTAATAAAAATTAATATACAACAACGTATATATATACATGTACATATTACAAATAATAATTTAACCAAATATTCTTAATAAAGTAAGTGGAGCATCTTTAAATTCTTACTCTTTGTATGACTCCGGCGCCGGCTAGTCTGAAATTTTAATCAATGAGAAAAGTAGTGAAAGATTGTGTTTTATGAATTAGTTTTACAAATAACGTATAAAGAAATAGATGGCCTCACCATCGGGTATAAATATGTAAAAAGATTCATATTTTTCTTCTATTAGAGTGAATTATTTACATATATGTATAGATTAAGTTAACTTTATTGGAGTTTATTTATTTTTTTGGTAAATGACTTTTTAAGAATTTATTATTCATTGTAAAATCAAAATTATTTACAACAAGTTCTTGGTAGAAAAGACTTTTTTACGATAAACCTAACAATTAATTAGAGTCTTTTATTGCTATACGCGAAATTTATTCCGAAAAACAAATACATGCAGAGTATTTTATATTTTTCAAAGTCTGGAGGTGTACGAAATAAAAAAAGTCTGGTAGATGGTAGAGCCTAGCTGAACTTGTCAAGTTACTGCAGCTCGAACATGGGCTGGCTCGACCGGGGAGGTACCATCCTCTCACTGAAGATCGGCGTGAAGTAGCCTTTAATGGCTGCATTACGTCTGACGAGTGAGAGAGCCGGTTGCCCTTTTCCTGTTCCCACCCTTTCCTGTCATTTCCTTATTTCAAACAATGCCTTTCCTCAACAACTAAGGTTGCCAATCCAGCCGTAACATCTCTGTCGAGAAGGCCCATGGGCAGCGACGGCTTCTGCCCATACAGTAGGCCGTCTGCTCGTTTGCCATCTTTCACATAAGAAAAATAGCTACTGTGATGAGGACACTTAATGTTGAAGTAGAAATCATGAGTGATCTTACTCGCACATTGATTTGACTTTTACTAAAGAAATCAAAGGTATGTAATTATTATGTATACGTAATTTAAAATATAAAATATATTTTTATCAGAACTGAAAATTTAAAATAGTATTTTCTTACCCCTAGCAGTGATTTTAAATTACCTTTCTTGTTAGTTAAAATACAAAAACTACCATTGATAAAACATACGAAATAATATACAACATAAATTAAGTAAAATTTAATATAAAAATATTTTATGATTTACAAATTCACAATGTAAAGTAAATTTAACATAAAACTTCAATCATAAAAAAGATTATTGGAAATGAGGCATAATAAAGATGTATCATTTATTTCTGATTTCAAAGATTACATTAATTGAAATATAATAATACGATTTTAAATACAATACGATAATTATTCACAACACAATGCAGTATGTCTATCTTCTATGCGGACGGGCAAACTGTCCAATGGAATTGCTTGAACCCATCTCATTAAAGTAGCTTAGAATGGTTACAAGGAAATATATCCATACACCTGGAAAAATAAGAATGATATATTATTTATTTATCATGAAATCATAATGAAATTAAAGCAAAAATGACGGCGTATTTAAAACTTACGTTACTTTTGAGACACCTAATAAAAGATACATTACAAATTTTTTAATTAAATTTTTAAATTTTTGGCTTCAATAGGTGATAAAGAGGAAATATTATTATGTGTTATAATAATATATATCATAAGCTTTATGTAAATAAGATTTCATTATAATGTTTATATTATTACGTACCCAGTATTACCATCGATACCACTGTGAACCATCCATTATATGTTGAAACAATAATCGTTGCAAAGAACAAGACGGTCCAGATAATAGTGAATACCAAATTGTAGATCAAAAATGCCTTCACGTAAGGACGACGATTCTGAAAAATAAGTACAATGATTAAAAAGGATTTCGACAAGTCTAACATAACAGTTTAATAAACTTAAATCACACATGATTTGTAAGATTCGCAAATAGGTTAATAGTTTTTTATTCATAAATCTTCACAAGGTATTGTTGTAAGGTAGATTATTTCATAACAAACGGGAAACGAATTATTTGCTAAAAGTATTGAAACGAAATATTTTTTCCTATCTATTTCGAAATGGTTAGAAGTTTTTTATATACATATGTAACCTATTACAAATCGTTGATTCTTAATTATATGATCCCAATACAGAGTAAAGTGATTTTAAATCAGAAAATCGACCTACATACTATTGTCTTTCATAAACATTTTCATAAAAGAGTAATTTGTCGGTGCTACTAAAATTAAAATATTTTATTGATCGGCTCTTGAAACACTTTTGTAGATACCATATTAATAGTAATAATAATAATATAGAATTACCTTGAAATAGAAACTAATATTTTTCGGATTTACTACTTGTTTATATGTAACTATTTTTAACAACATACTGTCTACTTTAATTTTACCTATTGACAACCGTGGGGCATATCTCGTCTGCCCGTGATCAATAATCGTGGTCGCGCAATAAGTTCAAAAATATTAGTTTTATTTCAATGAGTAATCCGAAAATGTTAATTCTTAATTAAATTACCTTATGCAATCCAATCAGCAAGAAAATATTAAATATTAGAAAGAAGAAGGTAAGAATTAGAGTGATAGCGCTGGTTGTGGTCAAAATAGTCCCAAGAATCTTTCCAGTCTCAGAACCATAGTTTAAAAACCTCACTCCTGACCTCAAATTGATGATTGAAAGGATACCTTCTATCACAGCGGCAACCTGAAAACATTATAAATATGAATATTGAAAAAATATTATTCATATAATTTAAAAAAAATCATATTTTTCTTAATAACAATACTGATTTAACTTATTATGTAAAAAAATATAAAATTGATGATAATAATAATATAATTTAGGTTTGACTTTGAGCTTTAAATATGAGTGTATACAAATAGAGTGCAAATTGCACCCTGATTTTCAATGAAGATAATGAATACTATAAATATAATAATCCTTTTATCTATATATTGAAATATTGTGTGTCTTTATATAGATTTTTTGTGGCTTTGTCTTATGTTGGTAATCCAAGAAGAATGAATCCTTTGACGCCAAATATCCATACGTCCAACATCGTATATAGAGAAGTTTTTGTAATGAAAAATAAACTTAAAAATAAGGGAGATAAAGTCGCTATTCCAAGTGGACAAAGTCCTTTTATACGGTATATACATAATATATGTATTTACTAGATATATGTATCCTATAATGAGACAGCCGGTCCTCAAACGGATGCAGCCACAGCAACTTTCTAACTTCAGCATTTTTATTTATCTCAAGCACCTGAAATTACATAAACAATTTTCAGACAATTTTCGTGAACAAATTGATAAATACTCGTATTAAACATTTCGATTGTTAGAAGGAGATAAAAGGGGAGATACAGTCTATGAAATAATTACATGTTATATTTTGACAGATAAATATTACAGTCGTGCTATTAGATTTAACGAAATATGGGAAAAATAATAAAAATGGACTAATAAAATAGTAGAGGTTCAAGTAATCTAATTCATCAGTTTTTTTTAAATTAACCATAGGAACTTTAGTCTATGAGAGTGGTCATAGATAGTTCTTACAAGTTTTATGTCAAGAGACAATATAACTTGAAAATAAACATTCAGTTAATATCCTTCTGTTTTATGTTTATGGATTAGAATACAAAAACATTTCAAAAATAATTTATAATAATTAAATTAATAAATATTTAGGTGATTCTAAAAGTTTTGATTTCTGTGTTTTTAGACAAAACTTATGACACAAAACTAAGAACTATTAGAAATGTCCATAGAATATATTTGGACTCAACATTACTTATAATACTGGACAATCCATACATTTGAAATATTTTCAATAGACAACCTATTAAATGTGTATTGAACAAACATAGTATCGAATTATAATTGTCTTTTTATATATCAGTTGATTAACTCA